GGTGATTCGCCCGGTTATCAGCACATGTGAGATTCCCCCCCCCCAAGCCTCCCACTTACCGGACAGCTGAGATGAAGTGATATGTCTCCTTCCAGTAGGGCAGCAGCTGGGAGGCCTCTTCGTCATAGAGCCGCACATTCAGGTAGGTGAAATGTGCCGGGAAGAAGTTGTCGATTTCCCGGGTCACGTTGAGGATGTGGCTGATTCTGATACAGAGGAGGAGTCAGGGAGGTGCTGGGGGCTCCCCAGTACTACCATAGCCCGAAATACCCTACTTCCAGTGCCCATCCCAGCAGGTAGCCTTGGAGACAAGCTGCCCTGCCCCCACTAGGAGCACCAAGCAGGATGGTGAGGCAGTGCAGGAGGCAGGATTCAAACTCAGCTCAGACAGCCCCTTGCAGCCTGGAGAACAATAGGCAGGCAGGGACAGGGTCGCTCCAAGCTGCCCTTCCCCCAGCACTTGGGCTCTGGTGTTTCAGTATGCACCCTGGTCAGGATGGTTGCAGGGACAGATCCTGCCCTAGGAGCAGCAGCAGACTCACTAATCTCTCTACACCATCTGGCCACTGCAGGGCGATGGAAAGTTGCCCTGGGTCAACACAGGCCAGGTGGGGAATCTTCCCCCAACCCTCCCCCAGGGCCGGAGCACACACCTGTTGCGCTGCAGCTCCTCCAGGTTGGCTGCGTTCCACTCGGAGCCCTAGAGACAGGCAGAGAGGGGGACAGCAGAGTGAATGGACGAATGGGGAAATCTGGGGCAGCAACTGCAGCTGCTCCCTTAGCGCCTTCTCAAGGAAAGTCCTACCCCCAGAGGGCCACATCCAGCCCTGAGTAACTGCAAGAGCGCCCCCTGCTGGGAGAGGATGGGACTGGAGTAGCTGGGAGCTCCCCCAACAACCAGTGCTTCTGCCCCACTTCCCACAGTGCCCCCTGCTGGGAGAGGCCAGAACTGGAGTAGCTGATAGCTCTCCCCACAGCCTGCACTTCTGCTCCACTCCCTGCAGTGGCCCCTCCTGGAAGAGGCCAGGACAGAGCTTTCCCCAGCCCCCGGCAGCTCCTCACTAGGTACAGGTGGTCAAAGATCTTGGAGGGACGGTCCATCTGGGCCATGATGAGCAGCATCTCGTTGTCAATGAACTCCTTGTACTCCTTCAGGCTGCAGCTAGTGCGGCGCTCCAGCTCTGTGCGGATCTGCAAGGGGAACAGACCATCAGAGGGAAGATCCCACTCTGGGCCCCCGGGGGGGGGGGGAGGGGGAGGTGGAGGGT